TCGAACACGTGCTGCGCGACGACCACCGCGCTTTAAATCTTGGTATCATTTCCAACTGTCACCAAACTGTACGTTTTGACGACTCGTGTGTAATTCTGGGACTTGTAATAATTTTCTGGGAACTGTACAGCAAATCGCACATTTTTCTTATTAATATTTCATAGTTTTTTTAAATTTCAGTTTTTATTGTTCATAATTATTTACAGTAATAACATATTTTTCCGATTATGTGCATGACAGCTTTGCCCACACACAATAAGACAGGATGATATGTACGAATATGTGCGAGTATGTTTCATGGATAAATAGGCCACTCATTTGCTTCAATTCCAACTACATCTCTGGAAATATCACTTGCTGTTTATCATCCATATTTTGATATCACACAATGTGTCGATTGCGTATCTGGAAATTCTAACTACTATTTCGCAAAATTTAACCAGCCTTGCTTCTACCAGTCCCATATTGTCCTTCACAGTGAAGGTTAATGCAGATATATTGTAAATTACACAGAGGTAACACTATATTACATTTCCCTTCACATTCCCTTGTATTACATAACAATCTTTGAACTGAGGCAGTTATGGTTCTACAACCATCACCAGTTCTCTTGTTGTAATTTGTATATACCAATTCGTATATACCGAGGAAACGCCGCCGATTGAAGGTCAGGTATTTTTTGACGTCACCAATTCGTGTGTAGGTACGGCTTCTTGATCTGTGCCTTTGTTTCCTTTGTTGCTGCCTTAACGGCTCGGGGTTATATACAATAGCCCCAAAACTGTGAACTCGTTATCCGCCATCATACTGATTATCGACAACCTGGGGAGTCGCATATTGGTTGTCTCTTATTTACTCCCAAAATGGCCGACGAAACAACGAAGCAACCACTCCAGGTACGTGTGGCCATGCATCCTCATTGACATGTGTATGTTAGCTCCGTGTTGCGTTTGTACTCGGTGTATATCGGCTTTGCGCATTCTTCCGTTTCCGTGTATCTGGGCGGCAACCGCCGTCGTGTGCATTTTGTTATTAACTAGGGTGACGCAAATGACCGACATTTATTACGAACAATGTTATGTTTATTCTGTTTCAAACAGCGACACACAACTTCATCGGTAAATCCGCGTGTCGTCAGACTCACGAGACCACAGCTGTAAATTGTTGTGGACCTCGGTGTTTGGGGAAGTCTTGTACCATGTTGTGAACATTAACAGCAATTTGAAGACCGTGACGTAAATGGATCGCGACACACAGTCACTTGGGGGCTGAAAATCAATAAATACTAATTTTCAATAAAAATCATACGCTATACGTATATAAATAAACAAGTTGTGAAACACGGCACCGAGTAAATCGACACCCTGTCGGTTTCAAATGTCGATTTCTTACCTTAAAATGCGAAACAAAAATTTTAGAGGGGATCA